GGACCCTGAGTCACAGTGTCGATCCCAGGGTCAGACCAGGCCTGGAACCCGGGTCCTGCCTCCCTCTCCACCACATGGACACTAGAAGAACCTCAGGAAGTTGGATTGAAGAGTGATGCACACGTGTTTCTCAGCCCCTCTGTTGCCTAAGAAAGTTCCCTGGGGGGTCCCAAGTGCAGGAAGCATCACCTGTGGGACATGTGGACCCCTGGGATGAGTGTCAGGAGGGGCCGAGTGGGTGGCTGTGAGACTCCTGAAGAGCAGCATGCTCAGCTTCTCTGGGTCCCTGGCCCCAGGCTCTGCAGCTGGAAAGACGCAGTGCCACGCTTTCCTCTGGCCACTCCACCCCGGGTTCCGGCACTCACCGCCACATCCTGGCAAGGAGCCATGTCCACCCTGGGGTGGGCTCTTGGGCAAATGCTCCCATCCCTCTTCCTTGTCAGAGCTGGAAAGTATTGGGGTCACCCACACTCTCGGATTACTTGTGCAGCCAAATCAAGTGAGGTTCTAACAGGTCCTAGGGTTCTTGGGTGAAAGGTCCACACCCCTGGACCAGTGAACCTCCCAGAAGCCACGGCAGAACAGGGGAACTGTCTTCCTGCTGTCCCCGCACAGTCCTCAGAATTGGCAAGTGGAGATGACCCTGAATGTTTAATTTTAATGTTAATGTTTTTAAATTCTGCTCAGTTCTCTAGAATTAAGCTTTCTGTGAGCCTTCTGTGTTATTTTGCTCCAAATCATGAGTGTGTGTTAGTTAAGATAACATCAGCTGCTATAATAGGCCTCTGAAATCTCAGTGGATTAACCCCACGGAAGTTCGCTTTCATTTCCTTGTGGTTCAGTCGGCTGATGTGTATGTGGCTGCAGTGGGCTAGGCACTGTGGTGGGCGCAGGACCCACAGCGACCCGGGACCCTCCTCCCCTCTGACAGCAACACTCATCCAAGGCCTCTGTCATCTCTCCTCAGTATTGTACCTGGAAGGCTCGGTTCTTGTGTTTGAGGACATCTTCAGACTGATCGCATTCTACTGTGTCAGTAGGTAAGTGGAGCTGGCCTCACAGAAGGGCATCTGGTTGCAACAGATGGCCATGCAACCTTGGGTGGGGGTGGGGGTGTCACAGGGAAGCCCCCACAGGGAAGGGTGCAGCCCACAGGATGCAGAGAGAGGGGACGGCCTCCTGGCTTCGCCCTGGTAACCACTGGGGAGGTGTTGGTTCTACTGCTTTCTTAGACTGGTGGGTAAAGGCCCCTCCCACACCACCACCGGCCCCCGTGGCTCACTGCCCATCAGCCCTGCGTTCCGGCTTTCAGGACAGCTTGGAGTCCTGCGTAGACCTGACCCACTCCATTGGTGGGGTTATTGGAGGAACTTCTGCAGGGGCAGCAGGCAGGGCTGATACACCTCCGTGGGAAAGGGGTGTGATTATTAAGCAGCTACTGGGTAGAGTGGGTGTCTGCTAACCACCCTCTATTTATTCATATAAATATGAGCTGCTCTATTTATTCATAACTGGTTGCAGGTCAACAGGAATTTTAGAAATATATTTTGGTGCTTGAGGCGAGTGGCATAAGCTACAGGACTTGACAAGGGCTGGGCAGGATATCTTGGGGTCCAGGGCCCCAGGCCCGCTTCAGAGAGACCATTCATGCTGCCTCTGGTGAAAACCACACTCAACCCAGAACACTCCTCCCACCCACCAGGACCTCCCTGGGCCCCACGGGCAGAACAGGTAATGCTGATAAGAAGTTGCTAGCGGTTGCCGCCTGGCGAGGGCTCTCCGGGCACCCAGAGCTGTACTAAGGGTTTTTACATGCATTATCTTTTTCAGTCTTGCAAACAGTTCCACAAGGTAAGTGCTCTTGTTAGTCTCATTTTACAGATGAGGAAGCTGAGACCTAGAGAAGCAACTCACTCAAGGTCGTGCGCCTGGTAAATGGCAGCATGGAGGTTCAAGGTAGACAAAGCTCCACGGTCCATGATCTTCGCTGCAGCCACCCCACTGTGTGCATTCCATGTTAATTCTGATGACTTGGCACGTCCTTCTAGGACCACAAAGCCTGGGGCTGGGCGTGGAGACCCCGTATCTGGCTGTGTGACCTTGGGCAAGTCACCGACCTCTCCTGGCCTCTGTTGCCTCATTTATCGAGGGGATGGGAGTCAAGATGGAACCCCCAAGGGCTAGAGCTCTGTGGTTCTATAATTCTAAGATCTGAATGAGGAGCCTCCTTCAGAACCAAACTCCCAGAGGCCGCAAGAGGTGAACCAGAGATGCGCATTTCAAGTGCCTTCATGTCACCTGCAGGGCCTTGCACAGATGAGCATTTTGATAAAGGCTAAACATCCAGGTGATAAACACCAGTCCTGGCTCTGAGACAGGGCCTGCTCCCTGTGGGCACTCCTGGCCCTTGTGTCCAGGGCTGGGTGCCTGCCCATCGAGCTCATCCCTGGCAGGAGCGTGGCCCAGCCCTGAGATGGCCCATGAGCAGCGTAATGAAGACATCACCGGAGCAAGAGGGCACTAGGGCACTAGGGGGCATGTGCTGTGCTTCTCTGGCAGCCTCTGCCCACCCCCAGACCCAGCACTGAGAACCCCTGGGCATGGATCTCGGAAGCTGCATCTTTAGCAGCTCCCCCACGGGATTCTGATCCAGACTTAACTCATACAAATGTATTAATGCCTACCCATAGGGGTGCTGTGATACAGTAATAGTAGTAGTAGGAGTAATAATAATATCAGGTGACGTAAGGCCTAAACTGGGTAACACCCAGCCCAGGACTTGGCACAGAGTAGATGCTCAGCGGACACCCCCATCCTCTGTGTGCTTCTCCTCGCTGGGAAGCGGCGGCCCCTGTGTCAAGTGCTGAACTGGAAGACGTTTAGGGGAGCAGACGCGGATGAAATCCTTGAACACTGGGTCGTGGAGAAGGAGGAGGTCCGTGGTGCAGCCTTGAAGGATACATGGAATCCCAGTAGACACAGGTGGAGGAGACGAAGGGGGTGTTCCCTCTATGCAGAGCTCAGAGGTGGGAATGAGCAAGACACGTTCACTGCCGGAAAATCGATGTGACCTTTTGGGAAGCAACGAGGAGGCCCCAAGGGCAAGGGAAGGATCTGGGGGACAGGATTGGGGAGCAGGCTGGGGAGGCAGAGCAGGGCCAGGCTGGGGACGGCCCTGGATGCCTGCGTCCACAGCCACCACTGCAGCGTCTTGAGCAGCACACGGAGAGGATCGGGGAGAGGTGTTGGAGATTGTCCTGGTGGTGGGAGGGTGGGCAACCCTGCTGGCCCTCACAGTAGACACAGTGACCAAGGGACTTTGGGAAACCCCACTGGCAGGCCAGACAGCCAACCAACCAGGTAAACAGAAGCAACGCGAAGATGAACTCCGCCACCCTTCAAAATTAGAGATTGGAGTAGTGGTGATAGGGCAGGGCCTGAGGTGGTGATGGAGCACTGGTCCAGTCTGGGTCCAGGCCTGGCCTGCCTGGAGGGGCTGACGGGGGCTGACTAGAGGCCTCAGATTCTCAGAATCACACAACCACGACAATGAAGGAAGGTAAAAAGGTCAGCCGGCCAACCCCCACTCCATTGACAGTGGAGAAGCTGAAGGCCACGCCTCAGAAACTCAGAAAAAAAAGCCCAGAATCTTCTGCCACCTTCCCTTATGCTGCTGTTCCATAAACAGGGTGTTTTCCCCATGAAAGCACTTCCCACGAGGGGGTGGGGGCACCCCGAGAAGTGGCAAGGGCTGTGCTGATGAGCAGGGGTGGTCTGGGAGGCTCGCTGCC